CATGACTGTCACATAATCAGAGGATCGTTCAATGTCAATACTATATCTAAATCTATATCATTCACTACTGACCTGCGGTATATCGTATTTGCGCATGTTATCTACTAGTTTTTTAACCGTCGCGATGTCGTTGTATCCCCATCTGCTCAACTGAAAGCCAAGTGACCAGTATGGCGGCATAAAGGGACGCCCGATAGACTTAGAGGGAAAAAACACAGATGTTAACATTCACAAGAAAAAAAGAAAATAAAAACAACAACAAAAAACAAACAAACAAACAAACGAACAAACAAACAAACAAACAAGCAAGCAAGCATATTTCTTGTGCAGGCATTTTTTCCTTCATTCCTTTGATGTTTTCGATTTATTCGAAGTAGTTTTCTTTCTTTTTCTTATTTTTATACATTAATATACGCCTTTGCGCGCGTCTTTTGTCGTTGAACACCATATATAATCTTTGCGTTTTACAAAAACAATCCATTTTTTATTTCATTTTATGAAATACTGTTGTGGTACGTTTAATGGCATATTTGAAGAAAACTTTTAAAAATCTGAAAGCAACTATGTTATTCTTGTTGGTGACTCACTTCAGTGTACTGGCTGACAACGGCTTCTGGTGTGGGTCCAAGGAAAACGTAAAAGTCAAGGACACCACCAATGGTGCGGTAGGTAATGGCGGGCAAGGGCTGAAGCGCCATCTCTTGGATATGGAGAGAAGAAATGAATAATTTATTCGGGAATAATGTAACATTTACTACTAGTGATTGGTTAATTCAATCATAGCTCACCCATGGCGTTGCTGTTTAACAGGAATACACCGTGCGCCTTGCCATCCTCCTCCAGAGACATATAGAATGGATGGTGACCATAAACATTACCACCATTCTGCAAAGATATAGACATAGATATAGGGTTTCAAATGCATGGTTATGGCTGCTTCTTTATTAACAAATTTATCTATTAAGGCTCTTGTCTTACAAATGCAAGTTTGACTTACAAAGGGGAACTGATCCCTCGTGAATATAGGCCATGTCATCCAGGTCATGTTGTGTCTGAATGACGGATGTTCTTGTTCACCAATGCCGTACACGTAGGTGGAGGGAGTCTTGGTAGAGATTTGAAGGAATTGATCGCTAAATACGAAAAGACCAACAGACGAATCCCACCTGGAAAAGTAAAAAAGATGACCAATTAGTTTGTGAATTAACGAAAAAAAAAAGGAACAAAGGAACGAAGCTACGAACGAACAAACGAACGAAAAAGCGAAGGAACGAAGAAACAAAGGAACAAAGAGAACATACGAACATACGAACATACGAACATACGAACATACGAACATACGAACGCACGAACGTACGA